ATGATTATTTTAACAAAAAAAATCTCATTTCCCAATAAAAATACAATATTTATTATATATGTTAGAGGGATTAAACTGTAAATTACCTCCTTGTTTTTTAATCCCTTCCTAATAGTCATTAAATAATTTGAGGTCACTAAATTTTCTTTTTTTTTTAACTGGAAGCATTTGCAAAGGGAAGCACAAGTAAAAAAGCAGATTATAATTTTTAAGTTGGGAAGATATATCGTCCGCTCCGTTTTAAAGCTAAAATTTTACGCCATTTTCAATCAGCAATAAAATGTTGAAACTCCCCTTATTTTCGCCGCCTATTGCTAATCCCCACAAAATTCCCAATCGGCTCCGGATTCACCACAATTTGGGGAATTCCTCACAAATTGGCAACGCTGGAGGTTAGCGTGTTCTTTCTGAATATGCTAAGACTAACGGACTAGTGTCGAAACACAGATAGCTAGATGGACGTATTTCGGCACTTGCGTCGATGCGCTACAGGAACATTTGCCTGCGCGTCGTACGTCTTCTGGCAGTCTTAATTTTTCTGTTTGTCTATGGTACTGCTCTCGTCTACAGGAGTGGGGAAAGCAGCACACAGTAGGGACAACGGCGCGCGCCGTATCCCCGCGAGTATCAATCGATACGAACCAAGACTCTACTACTTGCTTTATCACTACAAATTAATTATCACAAAAATTAAGTAACATCGTTACAAGTTCGAGGCTTCGAACCGTCGTAAAGTATGCTCGCATGGCTCCGAAGCGCTCTTTGATGTATCGCCAGAGAGCCAAACAGTAGAAACAGGCATTTCCGCATCTCGCTCCGACTGTTTGCTATGTTTTTCGTGTTCGTTCGGCCTGCTCGCGAGCAATGTGGACGCACCTTTACAAAAACTAGGCGTTGGTCTGATACAAATTAACATCATCGACTGTTATATCAAAAGCTACTGTGGCGCTATCTTTTTGGTTCATAATGTAATTTTTTCGTTTAAATAATAATAAAAAGACTTTGTCCATTTTTTTTTGTTTTAATCACTGTACCAATAATTGTTAATATATTATTACATAACGCTGAGTGGTCAAAAAAAATTTAAAACAAACAACAATCGCTATAGGCGTTTAAAAAATCTGGGTTACCGTAGACCGGTAAGGAGGACATAGTGAGCGAACAAACGATTACCACTGAATAGTATTTACCGTTTTAATTTTTTTAAACGTTACATAGAACGGTATAATGTAAAAATTAGCTGACAATGCGATTCACAGCTTAATTCGCACATCGCATCAAATTGTTTTCTTTATCTAACTTCAATTTATTTCTATTTATTTTTATTGTCGTCAATTTTGTCTGATGTCATTGGTAAGGATACTAGTCAATGTACACATAGCGATAAGAAAATTAAATAATGCACAAGTACTTTAGTTTTTAATGGAGTGCCGAATGAGTACATTTCGGCACGATTTGAATGCTTATTTTGATAACTCAATTTTAATTTTTACAGCAAATTTGATTATTGCTTTTTTGACTTTAGCACTACCTAAATAAACTAAACTAAAGCCTTATTCAGAACTTCACAATGAATGGAGTAAATTTAAGCCAATTTCAAGCGAACAACCGTTGGTTATGGTTGACAGATAAACAATACTTTAAACGTCAGTAACTGACGTTTAAAGGTCAACCATAACCAACGGTTGTTCGCTCGAAATTGGCTTTAGTGGTTTCAATAATTGATTCTTTAAGCTTAGTTCAGAACGTCGCAATTAATGGCAGCGTTGCCAGAATTGAAAAAAAATTTCGTTCTGCATTCTGGCAGTTCTGCACAATAAAAATTGTTAAAATATGTAGTATAATCTGTGAAACGAATGACTTTGAATTTGACAGTTCCCGCGGGCTTTTCTAGTATTAATTTTATTAGGTTAGCAACTTGCGACCATGCTGACGCAATGCCGTCTCTAATAGAACAGCCTCGGAGCGAGATTTATGACGTCACGCTAGTTAGATACTACGGATTAATAAATAGAATAATATACAGGGTGTTCCATTTAAAAAAATACAACTATAGCATTTTTTACTTATTTGGGACACTCTGTATCTTGTAAAATTATTTCTAAATTGTAGCTCTAATAGATAATATTTTATATGTAATTTTTTGGATTATATTCGACACTATTTTTTTCATATGACACAACACTGATGAAGGCTATAATGTTAGCAGAAACCAAAAATACGAGCAATAATTATGTTTTCCATGTATTCTACAACATATTCATTAATCCGTAGTATCTAACTAGCTTGACGTCATAAATCTCGCTCCGAGGCTGTTCTATTAGAGACGGTATTGGTCTGATATTTAGAAATGTCAAAAGCTGATGACATTTTACCTTTGCCAATTATGTCATTTCGTGTTGATTTTTGCAAGACGAGGAAGAACTGTCACTTGTTTTATTATTTTCCTTTTCTATTTCACGAAAGTAAAAAGAGTTACCTATCTGATTCGTTCGGGCACTCAATTTAAAGAATATCAGTAACTTTTTTGACAGAGGGATTTTATATTTGCCATGTTGGGAAAAAATAACGGTCAAAATTCAAAGGTATTCATTTTATAGACTATAGGAGTATTTATTGTTTTTCCTACATCTATTCTATTTTTTCACTTTAACGGGTTTTAATTAAGGATGCCTCGGTTTAAAGCAATGTTGCTGTCCAAAAGTCCGCAATTCTAAAGATTTTAACATTAACAAAAAATTAATAGATACATTTTTATCTTTCAACACGCATTTTTGATCGTGAAATTTTTTTAATAAAAAGTCTTCGAAAAAAAAATTAAAAACTTTTTAGAAGCTTTAAAAAATGTTTTAAGGCTTCTAAAAACATTCTTAATTTTTAATTCTAGTATTTATACATACCTACATATACAAATATATACAAGATTATGTATACTGATTCACTGTTTTAATATTCGTTTATAAAATATACAGGGTGTCAAAAAATAGTGTATCTAACTCCGGTAGGTGATTCTGCAGATAAAAATATAACAAAAAGTTTCTATGAACCAGTGGCTGCTTAACCATAAGGTCAAAAGGTCAATGCCCCCCTAAAAAAGTCAGGAGAAAAACTTATCTAAATTATACTTTTTTGTAAATCACATTTTTTTATCCTTAAGATATTCAAAACTATTCCCAAAAATCTTCAATTTGTCCAATTTTCGCTTGAAAACGTTTTATTTGACACATTTTCTCTACTGTCGGTCAAAATTTCATTTTGCCCTTCGTTCCCGCTATGTTTTACACGTATTAAACTCCAAATGCCACGGCTCGTGACGTCAACAAGGTAAGGTATACGACGTATAGAAAACGCTAGCTCATAACAATAAATTATTACTACAAAAACAAAAAGTGGATATGGAGCATGATATTCAACAACATAAAATTCCTCCAGAACCACTAGAACTCGTGGAGGTAGAGGTCCATCCTTCAGAATCAGAACCAGATGATTCTGATTTGGGAATAGAAACTGAAGACAGTACTAGGGTACTACTACTACTATAATACTCTATGAAGATGGGACCAGCTCAGGGCCTGATATTCCGGAATAGAATAATAATTCAATTATTTGTGTTTTACGTTTTTTAAATTTACATTTCGTGCTTTTTTGTTTTTTTTTTTAATTCATAGTCATAGTTCGTGGTTTATGCACAAAATACAAATGTTACCAAATGATTTTTGCTATGGGTTATGTTCAAAGAATATACCTAGCTAGAAAAAGAATAGACTCTGCCATACTGAAAAATGGTCCTACAGAAGTGGCGCCATCTATTGAGTAGGGCTTGTTTTAAATGGATCGAAGCGCGGGCTTTTTAAATGAGCCCGCGCTGAATGAATTTTATTCTAAAATAATTAAATTTGATTATTAAATCTTATTTTTTACACAAATTCAAGAATACTAATAACAAGTATCGTTATGATGTGTAAAAAATAAGATTTAACAGTATAATTTTTACAATTATTAAATAAAATTAAAGCCAAACATGTGTAAATATTATTTATTATTTAAAGTTTTTATTTATAAGTCAAATATTTAAACATCGTTTATTATAATAAAACAAGACCAACGTAATACGCCCAAAGTTTTGTAAATTGAGTAAATATAAATAGGTACTTAAATGATGGCAAAAATAAAAGACTTACATTATATTTTTAGGGCCACAAACAAACGGAATTGTTTAATAAAACACATATAACAAATTATAGTTTGAAAAACGTTTTGATAATCATTTTTGATAATATTATGATTGGCGCTATGACAACGACAATATTTTTTGAGAATTTGACAATAGTATGACAATGGCCGTTGGAAACTATGGAAACTACAAAAAAAATCTGATTGAACGCCATCTGGCAGTAACTAGTAGCAACTTCTTAACCTAAAAATTAATTGCACTACCACTTAGCGCCCGAGGCTGGAACTATTTTATTTGAAATTTCCATGGAAACGGTGGAACCGCTTTTGCTATTTCACTTTCCGACCCCTGGTTATGTTTATGACTTTTATGGGTTATGTATTCTTTATTAAAAATATAACAACTAATATTATGTTTATTGTTTTATTTTTCCACTTACATGTTGGTATCAAATGTCTATCTAATTTCTTTATTGTATCGAGACAAAAAATATGTAAAATTGTAAAATTTCCTAATATTTCATTAATTTTCGAAAGTTTCAGAAATTTCCTGCAACAATCAAAAATTTCTGAAATATTAACATCACTAGTTGTCGTAGCCGAGGGTAACCGAGAGTTTGAGGCATGTTTGAGGTGAACCGCGAAATTTGTGTAGGTAATAGTTAGATAGGTACACTATTTTTTTGACACCCTGTACAATTCGTTTTTAGTTGGACGATTCCTGAGTTAATTTGATATTATTTATCTATACAGAGTGTTTCAAAACTGATCATTTTCTTACCCTTATTATTTTCTACTTTATTCTCAAAAATATGTGCTATGCTTACCTTGCATGAGAATGTCCTTGGGCATGACAGCCTTAATAAACAGGGTGGTTATGTTGTACAGTCCCGCCATGCCTTTGGTCTCAAAACTGGTGTTGACACTGAGGTAGTCAGTTTTGGCATTGTAGTCCGTGTAGTTGACGTCAGTGCTGAGACCCAGCACTGCCTTGTCCAAACTGTCAGTGATCTTGTTGATTTTCGTGGCGAAGTTGCTAACAGCACCTGTGCCAATACAAATGTAATTAAAAATATGTCTCCAACACCACAACATGCCATATGAGTGGCCCACCCTGTACAGTATGATAAAAAAAAACGACGTCAAAGACGGCTGGGAACGACAATCGATCATTATTTTGGCGAGGTCTTACCGAGGTCACCGTTTAAAAATTATTTTTCCTTGGTATAAAAATAAATTACAACCTTCTTGGCCAACTGGCAGGCCAACTGGCAGTAAACACCGTTAAAAAATCACGAAGAGTACGGGGCAAGAAAATGACGTCTAGGGCTTGACCTCTCCAAAATTATCATCTACTGTCACTCCCCAGCCGTGTTTGACGCCGTTTTTTTTTCGATCATATGATACTTTAAAACTTCTACTCACCTGATACGCCATCTGAGAATTGAACGGCCAAGAACAGGAACAAACATGTCGTGAGGAAACTGAACAAGTTCACCAGGGACCGTTTTTTCTTGTC